TATGGGTTCAATCCCTGGTCAGGGAGCTAAGATCCCACATGCTGCAGTGTGGCCAAAAACAACAACAACAAACCACTACCAACAAAAAAAACCCCAAAACATCAAAAGATGCTCAACACCATTAGGGAAATACAAATCAAACCACAATGAAATCCCACTTTATGCCCACTAGGGTGGCTATAATACAAGAAAAGAAAAAAGGAAGCAAGGAAGCAAGGAAGGAAAAGAAAAAGAAAAATAACAAGTGTTGGCGAGAATGTGGAGAAATTGGAACCCAATATATTGTGAGTTAGAATGTAAAATCCTGCAGCTGCTATAGAAAACCATTTGGCAGTTCCTCAAAAAGTTAAACATAGAGTTACATATGACTCAGCAAATCCACTCCAGGATATACCCAAGAACTGAAAATAGGTGTTCAAATAAAAACTTACAATGAATGTTCCTAGTAACACTATTCAAAATAGCCCAAGGCTTCCCTGGTGGCACAGTGTTTAAGAATCCACCTGCCAATGCAGGGGACATGGGTACTATTCCTGGTCCGGGAAGATCCCACATGCGGCGGAGCAACTAAGCCCGTGCGCCACAACTACTGAGCCTGCGCTCTAGGGCCCGCGAGCCACAACTACTGAGCCCATGTGTCACAACTACTGAAGCCCACGTGCCCTGGAGCCCGTGCTCTGCAACGAGAGAAGCCACTGCAATGAGAAGGCTGTACACCACAACGAAGAGTAGCCCCTGCTCACCGCAACCAGAGAAAGCCGCATGCAGCAACGAAGACCCAATGCAGCCAAAAATAAATAAAATTAATTAATAAATAAAAAACAAAACGAAACAAAATAGCCCAAAGGTGGAAACAACTCAAGTGTCCATCAACTAAAGAATGGATAAACAAAATGTAGCATATCCACACAATGGAATATTACACAACCATAAAAGGAATGAAATACTGGTAGATACTACAATATGAAAGAACTTTGGAAACATTATGCTAAGTGAAAGAAGCCAAGCACAAAAGGCCACATATTATATGATTCTATTTATATGAATATACAGAATAGGCAAATACATAGAAAGCACATTAGTGGTTGCCAGGGTGTGCTGGGAGGGGGAAATGGGAAGTGATGGCTTAATGGGTATGGGGTTTCCTTTGGCGTAACAAAAACATTCTAGAACTAAATAGTGGCCATGGTTGCACAACAACGTGGATGTGCTAAAAGCCAGTGAATTATACACTTTAAAACAGTTAAAACTGTGAATTTTGTTATGTGAAATTGTCCTCAATAAAAATAAAATCTATTCCACTTCCACATAAAATAGTACCTGAAGATATTTTTATGTCTTGAGACTTTTCTCTTAGGAGTAGGAGGAACAAAGTCACTAACATTAGCTTTAGAGTTTACAAAACACTTTGCCATGCAATTTTATATAATCTTCACAACCCAGGAGATAGATATTATCACCCCAATTTAGAGATAAGAACTGAGGCTCAGAGAGGTATAAAGTCATATAGCCAGGAAGCATGGAGCTGGCTAATCAAGCCAGATGGTCTAACTCCACTGTATTTACTGCTACAAGGCAAACAGCTCCAACTTCTGATAAGCTTGAAAAAGGACAGGAGATGCCATTATGTACAGGCATCTTGGGCAATTTTTCTTCCTCCAAAGTTAGTACTTTAATCAAAGCAGTAAAAACATTCATTGTACATTCATTGATCTTATTGTATAAGAGCAGCATAAAGCAGGACACTACAGATTTCTTCTTCCAATTTTCTAAAGATGAGTTTAAGTTTCTCAGTGTAAGATATGCTATAATGTTAGCATGTCCTCTCACCAATGTAGTTCAGCATGTTTACAGGATGTGGCAATAAAGTAATGAGACAACTGTGCGTGTTCCTTACAACAACTGGCCTCATTAAGTCACAATCACATTCCTATTAAAGATTAATGAATGGGGCTTCCCTAGTGGCACAGTGGTTGAGAGTCCGCCTGCCGATGCAGGGGACACGGGTTCGTGCCCCGGTCCGGGAAGATCTCACATGCCGCGGAGCGGCTGGGCCCGTGAGCCATGGCCGCTGAGCCTGCGCGTCCAGAGCCTGTGCTCCGCGACGGGAGAGGCCACAACAGTGAGAGGCCCGCGTACCGCAAAAGAAAAAAAAAAAAAGATTAATGAATGAATGACACATCAGTGGTTTTCTAACACTCTGATGTGTCCTATAGATGTTCCTGAGAAAGCGGAGGGGTCAGGGTTACCAGCCCAAGAAGAGCATCCTCTTATTTTCTACACTGGGTTTTTCCTTAAGATACTGTTTGAAGAAAGGACTCCACAGCCTTTTAAAAAACTACATACTGAAAACCACTGCAGTACATTATGCATCCTCACTTCTTCAGAGGTTTTCAGAAATCTCTGCAGATTAGCCAACAATATATAATTATTTCTAAGTTCAAGCACAGAAATTCCAAGGGGTCTCTCTACATTGGTTTATGATTTTTTGTATTTTCCAGGCTCAATTAAACCATCCTGATAAATCCCCATTTTATAGAGCAGGTACTATAAGCACACACTGAAAAACAAGTCACTTATCTCAGATGGCAGGGTGAAGCATGAGCAGGGTCCAGATATGAAGCCCCACCCCAGATGGCTCAGCCTGCTGGATGGTGCCTAGTTCAAAAAGCCTTGGTGCCATGAGGTCATTCCATGCACTATGACCTGAAGGTACAGATGTCTCTACTTGCGGTGCATGACAACACATGAGGTGGCTATAGGCCAGTAATGTCTGGAACAAGTGCCAGCTCAAGGGCAAAGATTAGTCTCTCTTCTGCCTACGCTCCATATTATCCCTTGGTTCCCTTGATGGAAAATCCTTTCCAGAAGCACCATATGGTATAGTAGAAATTATGAAATATGAAACAGAAGACTTGGGTTTAAATCCTGGCTCTATTAGTATCCCCCCTTCATGCCTGAACTCTCTGGGCCTCAGTTTGTTCATAGTACTTACATCATGGGCTATTAGGAGGGTTAAATGAGATAGTGTAGCAGTTCCCATCCTGTGGGCTACAGACCTCTGGGCATCTTTGGCCCTATTACAAGAGGTCTGAAAAAGCATACTAGAGAAAAAGAAGCATTTAGGGATTAAGACTAAAAGCCCTGGAGTAAAATTGTCTTGGTTCAAATAATGGTTTTACCAGTGGAGCAAGTTACTTAGCCTTTCTGCCTCAGTTCCTCATCTGTAATTGGAGAAAACAGTATTTATTGGGTTACTGTGAGGATTAAATGAGTTATATATGTAAAGTGCTTAGAACAGTGACTGGCATAGTAAAAATTCAATAAATGTTAGCTATTGTTACTACTATATGTGTTTATGTATTCTTTCAAAGTACAACTATTATCACATGGATGTTTGCCAAGTTTTTTATGTTAAAAAAGGGTTATACTTGAAAAGGTTAAATACTTCTAAGATAATAGTTGTAAAAGAATCCAGTATACCACCTGCCGTGTCCTAATCCAGAGTAGTTGCATCTATGATTTTAATGTTTTTTAATTTACTGAAGCTTATTTTGTGGTCCAACATATAGTCTATCCTGGAGAATGGCCCATGTGTACTTGAGAAGAACATGTATTCTGCTGTTGTTGGGTGGAGTATGCTGTATATGTCTGTTAGGTCTAATTGGTTTATAATGTTGTTCAAGTCCTCTTTTACCTGTTGATCTACCTGGCTATTCTATCCATTACTGAAAGTGGGGTACTGAACTCTCCAACTATTATTGTAGAACCATCTGTTTCTTCCTTCAATTTTGTCAATTTTTGCTTCACATATTTGGGGGTTCCTTTGTTAGGTACATATATGTTTATAACTGTTACATCTTCTGGCTGTAATGAACCTTTTATCAATATGTAATGTCCTTCTTTATTTCATGTAACCTTTTTTGATTTAAAGGCTATTTTGTCTGACATTTAAGAGCCACCAGCTCTTTCTTGGTTATCATTTGCATGAAATATCTTTTTCCATCGTTTTACTTTTTTTTAATATTTATTTATGTATTTATCTTTGGCTGCATTGGGTCTTTGTTGCTGTTTGCGGACTTTCTCTATTTGCAGCGAGTGGGGGCTACTCTTCGTTGTGGTGGCTTCTCTTGTTGCGGAGCATGGGCTCTAGGTGTGCGGGCTTCAGTAGTTCTGGCTCGCGGGCTCAGTAGTTGGCTCGCAGGCTCTAGAGCACAGGCTCAGTAGTTGGGGCGCATGGGCTTAGTGGGATCTTCCCAGACCAGGGATCAAACCCATGTCCCCTGCATTGGCAGGCAGATTCTTAACCACTGCACCACCAGCGAAGCCCCATCCTTTTACTTTTATCTCTTGTTTCTTTATATCTAAAGTGAGTATCTTATAGACAGTATAAACATGGATAATGTGGTTTTTTAAATCAATGTAACAATCTCTGCTTTTTAATAGGAGAATTTAATCCATTTACATTTAAAGTAATTACTAATAAGGAAGGATTTACTTCTGCCATTTAGCTGTATGTTTTCTGTACATTTTATGTTTTTGTTCCTTATTTCCTCTAGAACTGCCTTTTTAGGTCTCTCTAACTCTGACCCTGCCTTCTTACCACTTGTTACATTGCCTCCTCTTTATTACTGCATTTTCAAAATATTAATCTAAAGATTCATTGGAGGCTTGGTCTTCCCAATCAAGTGATCATCTCTGCCTCTATTTGAATAGTTCCTAATGAACAGCTCCTTCATGAATCTATCCCAAAATGTTAAAAGGAAGGATCTACCTTTTCTGGCTATGAAAGTACATTCAGGTTCTTTCCCAGTTTTCACAATCTGAATCGCCTGTCCCTTAAACACACACCCAACATACACTATTCACCATTCACACATACAGTTTAGTATTATTATCTATTCCTTGCCTACATGTGGCCTGGGTTAGGCTGGACCCTAGAATACTTAAGAAGGGTCTCTTGATGACTGGCAAACAAAAAAATGAACAAAGTGGCTTACATTGTAGGAGCGGGGGTGCCTCTGTTTCCACTGTACCAGGAGCAGCTGGGCCACCACCAAGGTAGCGATGAGGATGAGGACCATTTCAGCGTGCATGGCTTCGTGGCCGCGGTGCTTGGCATGCATGCGTGCGTGCTCGACCCTGAAAGCCAAACAGATGGGGTGAGCTAGGTCAGGGATGGTGTGGCGGTAAAGGAGCAGTGTTTTCCAGGGATATCTCACTGGTCCATAGTGTAGAACACACTCTTGTACTGTACGAAATATGGGCTAGAAACACACATGCCCTAGAGGACAGGCACTTTGGAATAGAACAGGGGTTCTATGGGCCCTAGTCACCAAGGTTAGGTATTGGGGTTAAAGGTGGGTGGTCTGCTGCCCAGCCCCAATGTTAAAAACAGCTGATACCTTTCCATTTCAGTTCTATTTCAACCTGTCACTGGAAGAAGAAAGTAACCCAGAGAGGTCACAGCCATAAAGGCTCATACTCTTACTCAATGATATTTATGATACCAGTAAAGGAGTAATATTGCAAATATGTGCAAATTCCAGGGTTAAAGTCTTGCTTTATTTGTCCTACCCTCTCTGCCAGGACCAGAGATCCTAAAGATTAAAGCCTGAAAAATCTGAACTTCAGTAGTGCTTCGATTTTACACTATTCCAACAGTGACTTCATTATCAGTATCCACAGGTAAATAGACTCTTCAAGGGCTCAAGGAGAGTACAACTGGAAACTCTTATTTAATCTAAGAGTTTAAAGGCCGGCATTCTCTGGTCCCAAGGATTGGCAACAAGTGATTCCCTTGGCCAGTATAGGCAAAAAGCTTCCTCTGAGAACAGGAAAGAAAAGTCACTCCTACAGCCAAGGGAGAGGAATAAAGAAGGAATTAGGAAACTAAGTACAAATGTAACCCGTAGTCAGGAGCTTTTGTGCAAGTTCTCCATACCCAGGGGTATTAGGGAGAAAGGGAAAGGACAACATAAATGGTATCTTCATGGAATTCCCAAGGGCAATGAGAGACTAAGCAAGAAGAACCCAGTGGGATGCATTATGGATAGACAAATCATAAAATATAGCAAAAAGTTAGTTGTACAATCTAGGTGGTGGGTACAAGGGTGTTCACTGTACAATTCTTTCAACTTTTCTGTATATTTGAGATTTTTCATAATAAAATGTTAGGAGGGGGGAAACTTGGTGGGCAGCCAAATGTCAGTCAGCCTGGCAGTCACAGCACCTAAGGGTTCACCTTACATAAAACTTTATCCTAGGTGACAGAATCTGACAAAATATAATAGGGGTAGGAGTCAGAAACTTAGGTTCAGACACAACCTATGTGGCCTTAGCGAAGAAAATTTACATCTCTACATCACGATTTCTTCATCCATCAAAAGGAGTCCTTATCTTTTCTGCCTCCCTCATAGGGTTGTTGTGAGGATAAGCTAAACTAAAAGGGCAAAGGATATTTTAAAATCCCAAGGATTATGGGGAGTTATAAAGATAATAAGAGATAAGTTTCTTGTTCTCAGACAGTATATAACTGAATGGATGTGTACAACAAGAAATCAAAAAAAGGACTGAGAAAACACCAGAAGGCACCTAGCTCAAGTTACCACTCAATGTAAAAATTATTTTTGCAATCATTTGTTTGAATACCTCCACTGGCTGAGAATACATGCCTCTTAAAATAATCTATTCTAGAACCAGCAGTGTCTGACACATTGTAGGAACTCATACGTGCTTATGAAGGAATAAAATTCCAAAGCTTTAAGAAGCAGGAAGCTCTGTGCCTCACAATATACCACGATTATTAACAATGTTTCTGATAATGAGACTAAATTATCTTACTACAGCTTCAGTCCTTTGGACCTAATCCTACACTCTGGAACATATCCACTCTCTCTTTCCCAATGCTGCCCCTTCAAATATTTATCATACTATTATTTAAAAAAAAAAAAACCAATCCTGTTTCTACCATCATTTTCCTGGGCCCTTTTAGGTTAACAGTTCTGGATCTTTATACACGATGCATATAACATAATGTGAAGACCATTAATCCTGATTGCCTTCTTCTAGACATATCTAGCTAAAGATCTTCATATGCAGTGTTTACAACAAAATCAATGTGGACTCAGCAAAGCAGAACACAGTAGCACTGTCACTTCCCTTAAGGCAGATAGTATATTTTCAATGAACATCTTCGCAAACTGTACAGTATTTTGGTAGCTTAGGTACACAACTGGTGCATATTAAGCTTAAAGTCACCTAAAATCTTGCTGGGCCTGTCATATGAGTTGATATCTTTGCCATTCTACATTTTTTATAATCAATAGTTTTAATCTAAACGAGGTGTTTTTTGCTCACTATTAAACTTTTACTTGGTTGATTTCAGCTCACTGGTCAGTTACCTTATAAAGTTTGTGGGGCAAGCACTTTTGAAACTCCTCTACCAATGAGAAATAATGACAATAAAATATTTGTTGACTCACTCTGGTTACAAAGCAAGTTAGTAGCAGAGTTGAGATCAGAAGACACATCTCGCATTTTCTCAAACAGCGCTCTCTGCCCTGTTTCATGGATCATGATGATGTTAATGATGATAATCATCCTTAAAGCAGGTAACACTTACTGGAAGTTTACCACATGCCAGGCACTGTTCTAAGAATTTCATACATGTTGATCTTCACAACAACTGTTATGATCCTCATTTTACAAATTGGGAAAACTAAGGTCGTGTGAAGTTAAGTAACTTGCCCAAGATCACATTGCTAGGAAATGGCAGAACTAGTATTCAAAACCCAGATGGGTGGTTTGGTGCAATTATCTATTTACTCCCAAGGACCGAGGGAGCTACCCAAGAGTGACCCAAATACTGGGAAAGATCTCAAATGACCTGTCCTACTGGTCATAGGTCACTGCCTGCCACAGAAAAGGAAGCAAAAAGGGTAGATATACAACTCTTTTAGTAGGATTAATCTATAGTTCCCACCAAGAGGGGCCCACACTGTCACACTTACCTCCATTGCTCCTCTGGAGAGAGGTCTGACATATCAACCTGTAGAAAGACACCACCATAAAAATCCATTACTGTCTTAGAACTGTCCCTGCCCAACATACAATGATCACACACTGCTAGAGCTAAAAGTTTGAATTATGATTTGTGGGACATGAAGCTAGATAAAATATTCTGTCATATAATACCATTTGACTCTAAATGGCCCCATTAGACTAGGGTGAACTAAGCTTAAGTTTGCGCCCAGCACCTTGTTTGCTTCACCCTAGTCCAAGTCCTTGCTCTGCTATTAAGTAGCAGTGTAATATATACGGAATCTAAAAACAAACAAACAAACAAAAATGGTTCTGAAGAACCTAGGGGCAGGACAGGAATAAAGACGCAAACGTAGAGAATGGACTTGGGAACACGGGGAGGGGGAAGGGTAAGCTGGGAAGAAGTGAGAGAGTGGCATGGACATATATACACTACCAAATGTAAAACAGATAGCTAGTGGGAAGCAGCCACCTAGCACAGGGAGAACAGCTCAGTGCTTTGTGACCACCTAGAGGGGTGGGATAGGGAGGATGGGAGGGAGACGCGAGAGGGCGGAGATATGGAGATATATGTATATGTATAGCTGATTCACTTTGTTATACAGCAGAAACTAACACACCATTGTAAAACAATTATACTCCAATAAAGATGTTAAAAAAAAAGTAGCAGTGTGGCCTTCCAACCTCAAAGTTCCAGTTCTATTTGTTAGTCTTATCCTTTTAGAGCAGGATTTCTTAAACCTTGGCACTAGTGATATTCTGGGCTGGTTGATTCTCTGGGTTGTTTTTTTGTGGGGGTGGGGGTGGGGGTGGGGGGTGGGGATCTGTACACTGTAGGATGTTTAGCAGCATCCCTAGCCTCTACCCACTAGATGCCAGCAGCATCTCCACAGATAAAACCAAAAAAGTCTATAGGCATTATCAAATGTCCCTTGGGGGACAAAAATTGTCCCAGCTGAAAAACCACTGCTCTAGAATACTACTAAGTTCTTTGAGATCACAGCTCAAGTCTTCTACTTCCTTGTAGCCATACAGAAGCATACCCAAAGCCTCAGTACATAAGTCACTCGATACATTCTTATACTGAACTGAGCTGAAAATGCTCCTTGATATACAGAAGAAAGGCCCTCATAATCACCAAAGGAATCAATCAACAAATATTCCTTTAGTTCTTACGAAGTTCAAGGCCCAGTTTCCCAATGTTCCTCTGATAACTTCAGAAAAGTACCTTAAGTGGGATGTTTGAAGTAAAATGGGCAGAACTCCATACTACTACTGAGTAAAATCAGTACATATTTACCATGCATCCTTTATGTGTGGGTACTGGGAATGTCCACCATTGCTTAGAGAGGGCTTTCTGGTTTCTACGTGTCCCAGCTGAGGAAGGAAGGAAAGGAAAGGAAGGGAAGGGGAGGGAAGGAAGGAAGGAAGGGAGGGAGGGAGAGAGGGAGGGAGGGAGGGAGAGAGGGAGGGAGGGAGGGAGAGAGGGAGGGAGGGAGGGACGGAAAGAAAGAGAGAGAAGGAGGGAGGGAGGGAAGGAAAAGAGGAGGGTAGAGGAGGAAAAGAGGGGAGGGGTGAAGAGGGAAAAGAGAGGAGAGGGAAGGAGAGGGGAAGACAGAGGGCAGGGGAGGGGAAGGAAGAAACAATATCCTAAGGCTTCTCCCAGCCAATCAGGGTAATGAAGTCAACCACCCTCCTCGTCCTACTTCACACTGCCTCACAGAATTTATTCATGTGACCTGACTCAGTCCTTCATCCCCCCAGAAGGACAGAGGTCCCCTCCAAGAGGAGACAAGTAGATGCAGGAAATGGAAAGGCCCAGCTGGGTGGTACCTGAGCAGACAATTAAAGACCACAATCTTTTTTTTTTTTTTTTTTTTTCAGTATGCAGGCCTCTCACTGTCGCGGCCTCTCCCGTTGCGGAGCAACAGGCTCCAGACACGCAGGCTCAGCGGCCATGGCCCACGGGCCCAGCCGCTCCGCGGCATGCGGGATTCTCCCAGACCAGAGCACGAACCCATGTCCCCTGCATCGGCAGGCAGACTCCCAACCACTGCGCCACCAGGGAAGCCCAAGGACCACGATCTTATGTTACCTTAGACATGCTTTCCAAGTGACCTAACTGCTTCTTAAATCCAGGGCCAGGGCCAGGACCAGGGTGGTGCAAGCAAGGGACCTAGAGCTCAAAATTTAAGAAGGCACACATTTTCAGGTACTGACACTGCACTTGCATGACCTTGAGAGTGAGTGCCTCCTTCAAGTTTGCGCCCAGCGCCTTGTTTGCTTCACCCTAGTCCAAGTCCTGCTTATGTCTATCTTGCTCCCATCCTAGAAGATCCCACAGAGCCGAGGAGAATACACTGCTTTTTCGTCTTTCAAGTAGAATAGCAGAGCTGAGTGTATATTAAGCACTCACTGAGTACTTGTGAAATTGAACAGAATTCCCTCCAACAGGGTAATAAGTATGCTGACACACCAGCACCCCACCTGGAGATGCTTAAATGGGAGTATAAACAACACTTGAAAAATACCTAATAAGCATCTGAGAAATAAGTATTCATTTTCTGGAGGCACCCAGAAAATCATGTTTAAAAAACTACACGTCAAAACAAAACAAAACAACACAACTACATGTTCAAAGAAGCAAGGTAAGTCCATTGAAGAGAAAACAAGGAAGATTCAGAGAACCGGACCAGGCATGGGGACACCTCTCCATGAGATAGTGGTCAAGCATGCTACTGTCTGTGCCTTTGTTTCTCCCGCTGGAAAATAGAGAATAAGTCTTCTGACTTCACTGTGGGGCTGTGAGGGTAATTATATTCCAAGTGACCAAGTGATTTCATTGCCTTTCTTCCTAGGAGAGTGAGTGTACTTTAAAAAGTACTGAGAGAGGCCAGGGAACTGAATGTTGGTGAAGCACAGGGCAGTAATGCTTTCAGAGCTCAGGGAACAGCTGAGAAGGGCAAGCACTAAGGCTGAGACTAGACTTGGTGCTTAGAGGACCATTTAGCACTTCGTGGAGTAGTACGAGCACCAGAGTGGAGTAATGTTGAGTAAAGACATGATTTGGCTTTAATATTTGCATGCTGAATGAAAAGATTTTAAAAATTACATCCAAATCAGTCTTCTAGCTCAGGTGGAAAAACAAGGAAAGCTATAAGCTATACCTATAATTAACCTGTACCATCTGGAAATACATCTTTATTTGCTCCCTCATTAATGAGTTTATTCACCTGGGACCAAGAAGTAAGTCAGTCTAAACTTGACCTGTCCAGAGCTCAGGTAGCTAATTAGGTAGGTTCTCAGGGCAAGATTACTGATTGATGGGCCCATTTCCCACTCCTAAGACCCATACACAGAATGTCTTTTTGCCAACCAATCACTCCCCTCCTAGGATGTCGCAAGGTCTCTAGTCATGTCAATCTACCTAGGTCCAGATTTGAAAGAAGTTAGACCAAAAATGTCAGGCAGAGGGCAAGAGAAAACTTTACAAAAATGGAAAATGATCTGCAGTTGACTGATATTTTCTCAGGTGCGAAAGACTCAAGGTCCACCAGTGTAATACCACAAACAGACCTCCTATCCCCCACAAATACTGATACTCGGTGGTCTCTGAGTCTTTACACAGGCTGGTTACTTTGTCCCTTCAGCCCCTCTCTTCCACCAAACCACATTCTGCCTTCATGCAAAATGCTAGACAAATCCTCCTGGATCCTGAAAGGCTCTTTAGACTGACCCCATTCACTGGAAAAAAAAAAAAAAAATCCTTTACTGCCTTGATGAGCATGATCCACAGCCCAGAAGCATTAGCACCCTGAGAGCTTAAGAAATAGATGCTTCAGAATCCATCCCAGGGCTTCCCTGGTGGCGCCGTGGTTGAGAGTCCGCCTGCCGATGCAGGGGACACGGGTTTGTGCCCCGGTCCGGTAGGATCCCGCATGCCGCGGAGCGGCTGGGCCCGTGGGCCATGGCCGCTGAGCCTGCGCGTCCGGAGCCTGTGCTCTGCGGAAGAGAATCCATCCCAGACCTCCTGAATCAGAATCTGCATTTAATAAGATACCTAGGTAATTCATATGCATATAAAAGCATTGCTATTACAATCACTTTGCTGTACACCTGAAATACAACACTGGTAATCAACTATACTCCAATATAAAATTAAAAGTTAAAAAAATAAAAGGATTATCATTAAAAAAATTGCTATTGCATCCCAGCACTCACATCCACACTTTGTCCTACAGTCGTATACCTCTATACACCTGAGTTGTTTTTAACAACAGCATTACTGAGATCTAATTCACATACCGTAAAATTCATCCATTTAAAATGTACTATTCAGTGCTTTTAGTATATTGAGTTGTGCCACCATCACCACTATTTAAATTTAGAACATTTTTACCACCCCAAAAAGAAACCACATACCAGTCAGCCATCACTCTCCAATCTCCCCCCAGCCCAAGGAACCACCAATTTACTTTTGATCTCTATCTATAGATTTGCCTATTCTTGACATTTCATATAAACGAGATCATACAATATGTGGTTTTTTGTGAATGGCTTCTTTCACTTAGCATGTTTTCAGTGTTGCAGCAGGTACTGTAATTCATTCCTTTCTATTACCAAATAATATTGTATTGTATGGATATACGACATTTTCTTTGTCCATCCATCAGTTGATGGACATTTGGGTTGTTTATAGTTTTGAGCTATTACAAATAATGCTGTTACGAACATTCATTTACAAGTTTTCATGTAGACATGCTTTCATTTTTCTTGAGCATGTATCTAGTAGTGGAACTGTCTGGTCACATGTAACTCTATGCTTAACCTTTTGAGGAACTGCCAAACTGTTTTCCACAGCAGCTGCACCATTTTACATTCCCACCAGCAGTGTATGAGAGTTCCAATTTCTCCACATCTTCAACAACACTTATTGTCTTTTTGGTAAAAAGCATCCCAATGGGTGTGAAATGGCAGATCAATATGATTTTGAATTTCCCTGATGTA